GTTCTCAATTTAGGCAAATCTATTTAAAAATTATTTGTTTTAAAATCAAACAATCTTTTTGACAATTATAAAATGTTTTAGTTTTCATCTCTTTATGATTTCAGTAATTATAGTGCTCAATTATAATATTGCATCTACAATATTTTTTGTCCGTCTTTTGACATGAAATAATTGACGTATGGTTTTAATATTATAAGCATCTGTGTTATTTTGAGATAATACAATCGTATAACATGATGTTGGAATCTTTGTAATGAAATATAAACAATTTTCTATAAAATAAATGATCCCTTCCCAATGGAACTCAATTACTGACAGCTCCCCCAGTGTATATATATATTTATCTTCCCATACAGACCAAATCATGTAGAAGAACTTACCTACAAGTATTGACACGGGCTTCAATTATCACCAGGAGGGGGAACCCATTTTATTCTCAAGTACATTTTTATTTTCTTAGCATTACATCGTAAAGAGGACATATTTTCTTTCCATTAGGTGACAATTCAGGGTACGGGTGTCGCACACAAAGCCAGAGACCTAAGCAAACACTTCTCAACTCTGGGTACAATGCCCCACCAATATCTCCGTGTTGATGTTTCTACTTAGTGGGCTCACTGTGGATAGATTTAAATATACTCCTTCTATAGCTCCGATGACAGAGGCCATTGTCAACCGTATCAAAATATGTCTCATCAATTTCGGTTTCAATTTTCACCATGAAGCTGAAAAATATCTCCACATGTTATCAAAAAGCCATACTTCATTGTAGGACAATCTCTTGATTCAACTCTGAAAATGGATTTCCTTTTGTGTGGTAATCTTTCCTAAACTTAGAAAAGAGCTTTCTTATTGTTCAACAATCTTGACTAAGGTCAGGTATGATAAAACATTCAGCAAGTTTGGTCAGCAGACATTACCGGGTTGTCACAAATAGTCACAGCCAGCCCACCATCGACCTGGGGTCGTCCCCAAACCGTCCCTAGTCAGTAAACGGTATTATGTGCCGTGAGTCTGTAAACGGGTGTTTCTTGTAACCTGTAATTACCCCATCTATAGTCTACTATACAACTTTTGTCCTACAGACATTTTAACGATGTTGTACTTGAACTGTACCTTAGTTGGCCCACCTTTATATTCGACTCTGTTCAGACTGTCCATGGGATACCTGTTTACTGCTTTTCACCTGTAATGACTTAAACGGCCCAATACAGATCAACACTTTTTATGGCTGCAATTCACTTATGAATATCAATCCCACTAAAAGTTTGAAATTAAGAACCATGAATTTTTTCCTTTGTTGACAAGTTGCAGTAACTTTTTTTTCATAAAATCAGGACATTTTACTTGTTTATGAATACACCGTGTTGTATTAAATAGGGCAACAAAAGTTTATTTTTTATATGATATCAAAAAGAAAAATAATACAGAAATGAAAAAACCATCTTCTTCTTTATTGAATTTTGCAAAATCAGAAAAATACTTCAAAAGGGCGATGTTTCAATCAAATATTAACGTATGTCATCTCTCAGACTAAATATCATTCATCCGTAACATCATATGTTAAATAAATTTTGAAATATGGAAATGTTTTTTGTCTGCATATAAATACTAAGTGTCTATATCAGCAGAAACATCAGAGTATAACCACACTTAAAATTTGTTCTTTCCATTTTATATTGTTGTGTTTACAAAATGCATCGGACAACATAGACACATGCCACTGAAGCATGTAATACCATCAGTATTGCTAACCACATCACTTATCACTACAATCAAACCTTTTATCTATTTCTTTTTTTTATTACTTTTTACAACTTTTTAGAACATCTACGGTAATTTTTTTAATACCAATGATGTAGAGTTGTCACCTAGGCAGAACCAATACTTCAGCATTCGTTGTATAATTGTGGGTAAACTTGACAAATCTACTTCACTAAGGTAGTCACTAGTTAAACTTTCAACTACCCGTCACCCTTTACCACTTATACACTCTGACGTAATGTCCTACAAATTTAAGTTTTCTACACATGTCAGTAAAAGGAACATTCTCCCCACTTGAACACAGATTTGTCAATTTGTTTAAATTCCTCGACTTGAAATTTTTTTGATGCATTGCAGTCTGTCAATTTATAATCACAGTAAGTATGAATAAAGGCCTTCAACATGATACCAAGAAAATCCCGATTACAAATACTTCTTTCACAATCAACATGCGAGGAGATGGGTCACAATGATGTCACTGCCATTCACAATCAAATACAAGGTTGTAATTTGAAATCCTGGTTATCAATATTAATCTAAACCCTTGAAATAATATCCATGAAGTAACATTGTAGATACAAATAAATTTAATATGACCGTTCTAGTAAATTCTATGGACGACTTCTTCGTGTTAAATAGATTTGGCCCGATTTAGCCTATTTTTCGTACTTTTTTATATCATTTTTTCCCCTGACATAATCAAATTTAGTATTTCAATCAATGAATTTAAACATTTACTTTATTTCTAAACAATAGGACTGCATAGCCGATAAATGAACACATGAAAATGCAAATTTTGATTTGATTTGACAATACCTGAATTTTTTCTCATACAAGCTTAAGTTCTATGTATTAAATCTTTCAACTAAATATCATAGAGAATTCAGAATTCAAATAAAGAATTTCTGGAAAAATACAAGCTATTCAGCAATTTCTCAACTTCAACTTGAATCCACCACCAATATTAATATTTCTTTTATCCTTTGTTAGAAAATCAATTGGTGAAATTTTCCATGGCAGAATAATACATATATTTTATAAAGGGATTGAATTGTCCTGCTGTGAGATTGTATTTGTTGACACCGTCTCTTCCACTCTGTCAACACAGCCAGTTTTTCACTTTACCACAAGAAGTGTATACCCAAAGATGTACTGACTAATACATTGGCCACTGAAAACTATCCACACAGAAATTACTCAAGATTCTTAAATCTTACTTTCACACAAACAATACACTAGCACAAATAATATCTGGTTTCAATATTACACAACAAGCAGCAGTATAATTTATGTACACTGATGGTACTTGAAAATTTTTTTTTTTTTTTAAATTTTAAAGATTGAGTTTTAGACCTTCACAAATATTAAGGCAGAATGCCAGTGGTTAAGTGGCGTCGTTTCGTTCTACAGGATTTAAAATATTAAGTTATCAAAGAAACCAACAAAGCACTTTTACAGGAAAGACACTCCATGAAAAGAAATATTTTTTCGGTATATTTTAAAGTGTTTGATTAAGAAGATTTAATTTGCTTGTTGAGGATTAATTATCATGGGAAATATATTTGCGCTTAAATTTTCATTTTCTCTGCACAGTTGAAGTATGAAAGACATGTTTCAATGGTGCTTGTATTGAACAAATATTGAAATCAATGTCACAACATGGTGTTCAAATCATAATCATCCAGCACAATGACCCGCTCAAGTAAACTCTGAGCCACTCGATGACGTCCGCATAGCATGATTGGTGTAATGTGGACATTACTATGGAAACAGTGGCATTGGTGGTCATGGCAATCTTGAAATAAGATTATGGTCAGCATTTTTGTGTTTTCATACTGTTTAATAACCTAGCCACAAATTACACTGACAAGATCATAATTCTTGTGGTTATTGATCCGAGCTTAGTAGATAACACACACAAATATATAAGGTTTCAGAATCTCCTTAAACACGGCTAAAAAAACGGATGTAACTTTTGAAGAATGCATTTCATTTACAAAAAATAAGTAGATATTCATGATTTATTAGAAGCTATAATTCCCAAAAGATGTGTTCAGTGACTACCAACAGACCATGTAAAGAAGCAGCCTTACCCTACTCTCAATAGGATCATCTTACTCCCAATAGATCTTGTATCAATTTACCTTACTGTGCATACAACATAGAAAGTAAAGATATTGGGTTACCTTATTTCCAATAGACCATGTCAAGTATTCCCTAAGTAAATTAATACTGACTGCCATATTCCTTAAGGTTAACGTAAAGGAATACCTTATTCCCAAATGACATCAAGGACTGACTTATTCCTTAAGGTGAAGATATTAGGAATACCTTATTCCCAAAAGACCATGTTAAGATAGATGTTACGTAATGACTTATCCACAAAATACAATGCTAAGGTGCATGACCCTATAACCATAATTTGCCGGTCTGATTTATCTTAAATCATCTGGACCTCAGAAAACACTCTTTCAAATGAAATATTTTGTGATCTCTGGCCTTGAGTGTCATCCCCCAAGGACAATGTGTGGCGCCGCCATCATCAATTACACAACGACAGTACAATGTTGTCACAGAGAGTCAACTGGACGACATCCATTTACCAGCAGATCCTTCTATATATTCACACAACTGTCTAAACCTCATTTTTTACCAATTTTCATCGACAGGATTACACAGGTCCATGATCCTTTCACATATAATACATTGTCTGGTGTTGCTGGTATTGTCTTTGCCGTGAACTTTTTGAACTGATGCTTCTGAATCTAAAATACTTTTATTCTCTGAAGAACCGACACCCTATAACTATTTTTGTGAAGTTCAATACCCGACCCCCTGTAATGTAAGGGTATTTCATCATTCTACTGCGTGATATATGAAATCTCGTCAAGCACAATCCAAACAAAGCAAATTAGGACAGCCTTTATTACAGAGTGAAATCCCCTGGAAACAGCTGACCAGACACACATTAATCACTTACTTCAAACATTTTACAAAACACATTTTATCTGTGCTTCTATTAGCAATCATACCGTGCATACTAATGTAAAACAGATTTAGGATAATTTGTTTTAGATTTTTCTTTCTCAAATTTTTGATCATTTCCAAATAATAACTGGTCATATTATTATCAATATCTGATAAGCTGTTTTATTCCAGTCCCTTCTCAATTTCATTTTAAAATCAGCTGATAAAATACTAATTTAAGTGCACTTGAGTACATTAAGAAAACTTACCCCATTGTTGGAGCTGTCCTGAGAACCTCCCTTGTATGTTGTCCATTCTAAACGACTGATTTTTGTTGTGTCTAGTAAAACCACTGCAAAAAATAAAGAAAAATACTCATTAAAGCACATCATCAAAATCCATTGTGATGTAGTAACCTATCACAACCATAATCAATAATGGGATTCACTATCTACCTAATTATTCAATTTCACAATTCAATTTTTTTAATTTTTTTTTTTTTGATGTAATGATTTCTTCTATTACTCTGTATGAATCTTTTCTGTTTCTAAATGATTTACATATGTTTTAAGTTGATGTTTTCACTATTTTAAACTTCCATCAAGTCTTTTCCTCATTTTAAAGTTAAATCTTAAATTTCATGTTTATTTTCTTCAAATAAAATTTTTACAAACAGAATAAAATCTTGGCTGAAATTATTCCCTCGTCATAGCCTAACACAAATACCACTGCAATTCTTCACTGTTATTACAACAAATTATTGAATGCACAACTTTAAAATTCATTTTTACTTTTAATTTAGCGAGTGTAAATCAATATCTATACAATGAACTGATATTACATTTAGTACAATAATCCACATTATCTGGCTGACTTTTAAACAAGACTTGGGACGGGGGTTTCCAAGGTCAAGCTGAATGTTTCTTTGGATAGGAAAATTCAATTTAAATTTTAATGTGAGTTTTATAAGTAATTATTAGGTAAGACAGCTTAATGGCACAATATTAAACTAGGGTTATTTTATGGTAAATGTCCTTAAATTTTGATGTCAAATTATAAAATGTGTTTTTCAAGCATTTTACATGAAATATTAAAGTTACTATTTTTTTATCCATCTTCATGGACAGCTTTTAAGGAATGACATTATATACATAAGATACCTCACAAAATACATTAATAATCATTGGTTGCACAAAAAGGATGTCCTATTCATTTGGTGAAAAATGAGGAAATAGCATTAGGATTGCTGAATTTATAAGCAGTTGACCCTGGACTGATCTCAACTATTCATCACTAAGGACATAAAGGTACCGGTGATGTCCAATATTTATCATTTCTACAATGTATCAACATAGTGCTTAAAACCTATCAAATTAAACATTTCATAAATGGAAAATTCTACAGTAAGAAAACCTTCAATGACTGCTCTACAACTCCCAGCGTGTCTATTAATACAAAGCAATAATTTCAAATTATAAAACCATTTCTTCTGGGCCCAAAAGCATTGACAATATTCAACACAAATAAAAAAATACATTTTATGAAATGCAGATGAAATTTTTTTCTATAGAAAGACTTTTAGATAATTTACTAAGAAAAATACTCAAGAATTTTTTTAAGGCAGAGGGCCATTTTTAATTGCCATTATACAATGTACTTTACAAACTTGAAAAAAAAACAGGATATGAGACTAGTAGGAATTAATTCTCCAGCCACAAGGCTTTTGTTGGGAGTAATAGACTATACCATGCTAATGGCTAGCCAACCAGCCCATTGTTAGAATTGGAAGACTCTGCCTTACTAATGACATGTTATCATGCCCATAAAACACTCAAACAGCAAAACATCTGGGTCATCAAAATCAGGGTTAGACACTGTCGGACATTCTGATTGGTCTCTGAACTGGTAAGACATAAGATGATTGGTCTATCCTTGGCCAAGGTATCTAAGACCATATATAACTGCTCAATCGCTGTACATATTAGGTATCAGTTTTCAGAAAATAAGGGGTTAGGGGCAAATCCTAGAGAGGTAGTGGGGTAAAGTAAAGAGGCTGTGTCTCCAGACCCCATCTGGTGACGACTGGTGACAGCATTCCTGTCCCACTAGCCCAGCCGCAACTACCTAGAGAATCTGTAGGATTACTGTTCATTTCCTGTGATATATGCCTTTACCGCCTTTGTTTAGGGAGAGATATCTTGTTACAGAGTACCAGAGAGAAATCAGTGTCTTTTTATATCATTGCCCACGTTACTCTCCAAGTCTCTAGATCATTTGTGTCCCTAACAAACATTGTAAAACCGACAGAACAAGGTTATCGCCAACAAGCCCCTAACAAGGCTATCTTTGCATTCTCTACATCTGCAATAACCCTGATCATTACCTTACAGATTTATCTCCCTTGACACTACAACAAAATATCCCCAAGCTGCCATAGACATTTACAACCTCCTGTTTACAAGTACCCAATAACTAAAAATTATTAGTACCATCAGACGACTCGGAAATAACCCTCTTCAAATGTGAGTGTCACCACTTAAAAATTAGAAGAGAGCATGTTTGACATCCCTTCTCCCATACAAGAAGCTAGGACAATAATTTGGGTTCATTAGTTTTTCCATCGAAAAGTTCAATAACTACTGTCTTTATCCTCCCATGATGGAATTAAAAAAACTACAGACAACTCATTTAACTGTATGTTACAATACGAAAAAATGTTGTTCAATTCCTTCTGCAATTACATGTGCAAAATTACTGTAAACACACTGACACGAAATCTTTAAAATTTTACAAATGAATGGACCTTGAGAGATCTTGGGAAACTAAACCATGAATTAGACAATCTTACTACAACATTGCTGGGATCGTGACCTTGAAACTTTGATGAAGTTATTGATTAATTCATCAATGTCACAACACAAACATTTCATCAGAAATAGAATTCATGAAATATTTTCACAGGCTGTTATTTAACTTTACTTGTACAACATCTTTTTATTCCAATCACCTATTTTACAGTGCCAGTAAATTTGATTAAAAATAACCACTTGTTTTATATCAAACCTTTTCTTAGTTCAACAAATAACTCTACATTAGCTAGACTTAATTTCTTTATTTTTCAGTCACCTATTTTATCATACCAACAAGTTTTATCAAAGACAACCGTTTACCGAGCCTTAAATCAAAACATATATCAGATCTTCAACTTAAAACTCTACATAACGGTGCACCTAAACTCTTATTTAATTCCTGTACAAAAATAAACGGACATTAAAATAGCTGACATAATTATAGATAATACAAGTGGTAGAGGGTTCTATGCACTGTTTACATACCGTGCCAATTGCCCCTCCCCCTCCCTCTCTCATATCGCCTCAACTCAAATCAGGTATTAAAAATCGTTTTAAGAACATAGCAAAGTTAAAATGTTTGAGGAGTGTGTCTGATCTCCACAATGTTTGTGTCGGGTATAGATGACTGTTGTCACGGACAACGTCTCCTTCACTCTGATCACCAAGACAGCTTTAAAGGATATTAAAAATCTTTTTGGAATTATAATGTCACATTAAACGTTTGAAGCCTCTGTCAGATGAGAGCCGTCAAGTTCCAGGTATGATGAAGTTGTCTAGGCCAGGGTCCAATATTATAACGACTATCACCTGTATCTTACCTGTCAACTTACACATACCTAAGGTCTGACTCAACCAAGAACAAAGCAACCGTACAACACTGCATTAATGTTATGCTGTTTTCTATATATAAACGTCAGAAATGAATTCAGTGAATGTTTAAAATAAAAGATGGATTTTAACCCTATCATTAAACATGCCACAGAAATGTTGGGTACCTAGACTTTGTAGGTATCTGGGTGGTACTTTAGGTATAACATATCTACTTCCTAATTACAACACTTAGTCACGATGATATATTTAAATCATTGATCACTACAAACTTCCCCACGTTATCAATGTCCTGTGACATATCAGCAAATATTCAGTACATACATCAACGGAAAAAAAAGAATTGACTTTTAATAGTATTACGAAAGTATTTTACCAAAAAACTCTGCCTAATTTAAATGTTACTTTAATTAGCAGAGTTACAAATTTATTACGGATCAATATTTACTAAATGATAAAAAAATATTTTACGTATCATATCAGATAATGATTTTTGACATGTGCACATGTTATTTGATACACATATTTCAAACTGCAGGCCTGTTACTTGATGGTCTCTGGCATGTTGATTAACGAGCTTATTAATGCCCTGATGGTGTCAATTAAAATCTCATTGCTACACACAAGGTGTAATGCTGAACATTACTATGTACACAAATGTGGACTTGAAAGTAGAAACTGTATCAAAGAGCATGATATTTAAAATCAAAAATATTTTACAAACAAGTAACAAAACACAATTCTGATTTCAATTTCACAAATACTTATATCTTTAAAAATAGAACCCCATGTGTTATAAATTCAAAATATCAACAATGTGATGAAATGAAAATGAACGTGTAGACAGACTTGTCATCATAAGGGTTTAAGACGAAGCTGATCTAGGAGAAGGTAGATAAATATTCAGGCGATATCTTCTTTGCTATTAGTCTGAGGACCATTACCTGCATTCTTGTTTATGTGAATGTTTTTGCTACCATGTGTGATTTCCCATTCAAATTTAACGAATAAACCATTCTATCATACAACACAAATGTCAAGGGCTTGTGGTACCCTGTATATCAGGTTTTTTATGGAACACTGACATCAAATTTATCCCTTCTCCATTTGTTTTATCTACAACTTTGTACACAAACGCTCCCTTTATCTCCATACATCACATGACATATCTGCTAGACTTCTGCAAGACCCAGTTTTTTTCTCCTATACAGCAAACATACACGTTTTTACTGGTGCGAGATCGGAGAGTGAGAGTCAAACATACAAGTTTTTACTGGTGCGAGATTGGAAAGTGAGAGTCGTTGTATCAACATTAAAAAAAGTACTGCTTTATCAAAGACCCAACCCAAAATTCTTATTATAATGGTATTCCTGGGATCACTTAACTTAAATGTCATGCAATAATTATATATATGAAAATGATGTATAATTTAATCTAATTCATTAATAAACCAATTAGGTCAATATATGATACCAGTAATTATGTCCGTAAGGTTTATTCAAATTTTTTCCCACTTCAAGGAAAAACAATATCTCACTATTTACCCTACATATGTTCCAATATATATTTAAATAAGGTACCACATTGTGAGAAAATAGTCAATTTGTACCAAAACTACAAGGAGAACATTCAGATTAAATACGTTATAGGAATAATACAAAACAAAATAAGACAATGAATTTATAGCAAATATAAATGTCTTTTTTTCTAACAAACAAATTTTCTTAAGAAATATTGGCACAACATCATTTCTACCGCATTTCATCTTAAATGAATCTAATTGTACTTCACTGTAGGCATTACATCAAATAAATTATTTCTCTCGTCATTGCTAAGATTTGATTTAGTAAAAGAACCCCAACCCCAAAAAAAATTTCTAGCTAGTCGTACCTCTAGAATGAATATTACTGAGAAGAGCAAAGTCAATTGTCAATCTTTGCCACGTCGAAAGGACACGAACAGAAGATGTCCTCACCGACAGCGTCAGCTAATTAACACCAATTTAGATCATTTCTTGTTTGATTATTTAAGAAACACCCCAGTCCACACTGCGGCTGTGTTGCCTGGTTATACAGTATACCGCACCCCATCACCATCAAATCATTTTCAGTGGTCCTTCTTTTCACCTCCAATAGTAAAACCTTTAGGTTGAAGATAACCATAGCAATCTGTCTGAAACAGTTCCTTACTGGGGTGTAGAATTCGACAACTCCTGTCCAATCATATAACAGCTAAAAAATCCTCACATTCTTGCTAGGAAAGTCTGACAAGGCTGTTTTGTGTGTACATTTGTTAATTTAAACATTTTTTTCCCCCTAGTAGAAACCATGGACTACCCAATGCATGTGCTTTAACATTACCAGAGAAGATGGTATGAATCGAGATGCCTTGCTCTCATCACACCTGCATATATCTTAGACAATCAGCATTGCTACTCATCATCAACCTCACACTCGACAACTGCTACAACCAAATCCACAGAAGATCATTGCCATTGTTGGCCGATTTTTGTCATAACCTTCATATATCTTACCTAAATCTATCTGGAGTTATTTCTAATCCATCTATCTGACTTAAGCAGGTTGTTGAGGGATATCTATCACCTTTAGCTTACCTATCATTATTTTTTTTCTTTTTTAACACACTGGCTGTTGTTGATTGATGAAATGTATCTGCTGTATTTTATCTAAGACTAGCCTATGAAAGAACTTATATCATCAGCCTGTGGAAGCTCCTGGTAATGGCAATTTCAGTTATAGTAACTAGGCCTTTAAGGCTAGTGGTTGGTGGTCACTTCAGCTACAGCAGCCAGGCATCTAAAACTATGGTCTGTGGTCTCTCCAGCTACAGCAACCACACCTCTGGAACAGTAGCCAGACCTCTGTAGCTGGTGGTTTGTGGTCACTTCAGTTACAGTAGCCAGACCTCTGTAGCTGGTGGTTTGTGGTCACTTCAGTTACAGTAGCCAGACCTCTGTAGCTGGTGGTTTGTGGTCACTTCAGTTACAGTAGCCAGACCTTTACAGCAGGTAGCACTAATAATTCATCAATGCTACATACATACTGATTATATACTCTACACATAAATACTATACTGATTCAATACTCCTACTGTGCTAATTCTATACTGACACTAGGATTCACTGCAGTTCTCCATTTCTGCTACATGCTTCAGCATGGTTAGACCGATTTACAGCTGCACTATTGTGGCAGTTTGATGCCTAAAACACGTAATGGAGTGGACTGGTTCAGTTTACTGACAACCTGGGGATATAAAAAGTCCTTGTGACTGGCTTCCCCCAGTCTGCTAGAGAGAGATTTACGAGGCTGTACAATTCTCTGAAGTACTGACAATGTTTACCCAGTGGTGTAAACAACATGCACTGGTCTGGTTATGTCACTATCGTAAAACAATAACGTGTAAATAATCACTGAAATTTTAAGTTCCCCTTGGTAAACAATCTGGTACCCAACTCTTAACACAATGTCCGCCACATCTAGAACATTGTAAATCAAAGACCTGGTTTTCTCGTCTGAACACCACCAAACACATCATTTACAGTAGGCTTTGTGCTCTGGAACTTCCAGGAAAGAGACACATCAAAAAGGTCTTTAGAGAAATGCTGACTCCTAACGTGTTTGCACTTTCCACTGCAGTATTGGCAGCCATGGTTTAAAAGATGTCTTGATAACCAATACAATAACAGTTTTTACCCAGAGACGTGTTTTATTCTCAGATGATGAATAGAAGCTACGGTGCTAATGAAAATTATTATTCAATAAAACAATAACAGATAATATTTGACTGTATCTTCGAACGATGACATAAAAATCCTTTTTCCTGCAAATGAAAACGACTTGTTATCGGAGTGTTTTGAAATAGAATCTTAGAAATACTTCCTCGTAAATTGTAGCTGATTTTTACTTCTGATTAACATGTAGAGAGAACAGTCAAAGAATAACGATTGTTGACAAGGGGACGGATTACTGTAACTAGGTACAAAAAAACAATTAATCCATAGATCTAACCGTTGCTGTAAGATGTCAGCTTTGCCAGTCCTATAATACAAACATGTCAACCTTGCGTCAGTCGATAACAAACAAGTTTGCTTCATTCACATGATGACATACGTTTTTAATGAAGTAGCAACAATCCTATCACAACTGTGGTATCAAAATCTCAACCAACAACCCGTCATCATACATGTTACTCAGCAACACAGCCAACTTGTTGCTCCAAATGCTTAAAATAAATCGCCTCACTTGAAGCCTGTAATCCTAGTGTACACAGAAACGTAAAGGAAACGGTCGGATAGCGGTGTGTTAATTTATTAGTAAAGAATCATAATCAAGCTTTGAAAAGAAAATTTGTTCTTCCAGTCTGATATATAATCTCATTGAAAAAAAAATCTGACATTTTGTGTGCAGAAGAAAGCTTGAACAAGAACAAGATCGAATGCTTTACTAGTCTTTATCCTCAGTACTCTTGACAGTAATAGAAACCTAGTACACAGTTCCCCGATAGTCATTTGTATTCATCTGGTCGGAGTGATGACCCTTAGCCATATTTTGGGTCAGATAGGCACTGTCACTGGTATGCCATGTTGAATGCAATATTAAGAATTGATCATGCACAAGAATTTTTTCATTGAGGACTATCATTTCATCAAGGAAATACCATTAGCACTGAACACTACAGAAAATTATATCAAGATTTGAGATGACATATATTGTATAGCTATCCTGGTCAGTAGGAGGCTTGCGTAGATGGGGAAGATTGAGCAGCTCTTCCACAATCAATAAGATAAGTTAATATTGGGCCCTGTTTCCGTCTCCGAGGAAATTGAAAGGTTTGCTCTCTAGTGATACAATTAATTTCTCCATTGGAATCTTCCCCTATGTCGACAGCATATCAACCATAGGGTTAACATCAGGTTACCATAACTCTGTGTTGTTCTATAAATATTTGCGTGCTCTGTGGTCAATTTGGCCATTGTCACATTTAGGTGGCGCTGTAAGTGTTGAAATAAACAAGTCATGCCACAACACTTCTCTGATTCTGATGAAGCCATGTGAGGATGTTGCCAATACTAACGTAACCAATGTAACTATGGGTACAACGAGCTAGATTATCTTAAGTAAAACTGCCACTATGTCTGTACATCTGTGTCACTTACTGATGGCTGAGGGAGTACACTCATTTACAAACATAGACATTCAATTTCCCACTTCTCTTTCTATTTCAAGACTTCCAAGGCAAAATGTCAGCCAATCTCATGTTGGTAGTAAACTTGGCACTCTATTTCCTTGTCAGATTCCTTCCTCATCCAGCAGGTATCTGAGTGTGATGAATCTAGAACAGTGTTACTGAAAACTTCCTTTTAGTTTTCACAGCACAAATTATCCTCTTTATGAATATATCTTTGTATATGAGTGACATGTCAATGTTGCCATCTTCTCTTGACCTTAATGCTGCCATCATTTCTTCTTCGTCACAATGTTGCCAGCTTCACTGACCACAATATTGCCATCTTCTCTTGACCACAATGTTGCCTTTTCTCTTGACCACAATGTTGCCTTTTCTCTTGACCACAATGTTGCCATCTTCTCTTGACAGCAATGTTGCCATCTTCTCTTGACCACAATGTTGCCTTTTCTCTTGACCACAATGTTGCCATCTTCTCTTGACAGCAATGTTGCCATCTTCTCTTGACCTCAATGTTGCCATTTTCTTGATCACAATGCTGACATATGTTTTTGACCACAAAGCTGCCAACTTCTGACCACCAAACATTTCATTCTACAGGCAACTTTGATTCTACAGACATTTAGTAATATCAGATGTTTCAGGAAATTTCTGTTGTAAGAACACTTCAATCTCCATCCTTTATTCATGCATATTTGTTTTCCTTGTCAATACTGGATCCAGTCAAAACAATGATAATCTAATTTATGCAACAAGCATAGTTTGTTAAAACATTCTAAGATTGATGATGAAAACAAGAAAGCCTGTAAACCTGTTTGTCTCTTGGGGGAAAAAACCAATAAAAACAACAAATCAAAGCACATTATGACAGACAATCACCCAGGGTTCAATGAAATATGATCCAAATCTTTAAATATTTAGAGCAGCGTAAAAATCTATTGCATTTTAATTCCAACTTGGATGACTTTCTCACAGTTTTGAATTGAAATATTTATGAACATTTTGTTTGAAACAGAGCTCAGCAATTGTCTGGCTATGAATAAACTCTTCAAATTGATATTGTCGGGAGTGATATTTCTTCCCAACGATTTACGATATCGTTTTGATCCCAGCCTGTTTTTTTGCAGGATCACACTATAGTCCGAGGCCTCGACACTTTCATGGGACTGTACGGAAGATTTACAAATGTTGTAAAACGTTTGTATGGCTCTCGCAATCCCGGCTCTTGTGTCGTTTCAGTGTCGACAAAAACACCAATATATTTTATGAACTCCCATTTTCTCGCCTGTGTAGTGCTTCACATTTGAACCTGTCAGAACTCATAATATACAATGCCAAACTCAAGCAGTAGTTGCCTATCTAGCTTAGGTAAAGATTACTATAGTACCTGCAGATTTCCACTGACACAATCATAAAGAATTACCTTAAAACATGGAACAAATTACTTTTTAACGCAACTTATTTAACTATTATCTAGCGCCCCTGAATTGCCATAATCAATATTTGATTTTATTATTTGCGGAAGGGGGAAAAGTAGAGGGTTAGAGTATTTAATTATTCTGAAAGTCAGAAGCAAAAATATTGTTACTGATTACATAAAACAGACTATTATTTTATCTTACTATGAATTTCAATTTTAAGGAATGAATTTTTAAAATCCTATTCCATTCTTGAAAATAGAGAACGAAAGACCTTCTCTATGATCAATATAAACATTAGCTTCTTAAAATGATCTTACACCCAATATCTGAGCTTACAGACGACACAGAATTCTTACTATTTTTAATAATTACATTATTGAAGCAAGGAAAAAACATAAATTGATCAATCAAGAATAAAATAGGGTAATTAATCAAATAAAATAATCGCAAATTTCAATAACAGTTACTTCATCAAACGGGAGGTTCACATCTAAGGAATATTGTGATGGATTTGAGTAATTCTGATGACTCAAAAAGATCCATCATATTTTGGCATTATTGTTAAAAAAAACAGAGTTGATAGGCAAATTTAGGAACTTCTTCCTTATATTTATGTGAATGAAAATAACCTTTATAATTGTAGTTTTCACAATTTCACCATTTTTAATATCATTTTGTTCACAAGATGAACTCCTATGTAACAGTAGCCCTTATCTATACAGCAATGTATAGTGCCGTCTTTGCTGTTCAGTAGAACAAGTGGTTGTTAGTAATTATAAGTCTACCACCTGACATCAATCAGTCGAAATGTCATGGGGCCACCCGAGGTAAATACAGGATGTCTACGGTAAAACAAGTCAAATGAATCCCAGAAACTGACTAGAAGCATTATCACATTGTAGAAATATACACTGAATCAGCAGGCATTTTAGGAGTAAATGAACAACATTATGTTATGTTACATATGTAAGGTTTTGTTAATATGGTACCTTTATTTTGTATGTTAAGTGCTCCACTCATTGATATCTAATATCACAAACAGGATGTACAATACATTGTCAAATCTAATCAACCAATCAAATACGCTCGTCATTCTTCATCAAACCAATCAAATCTGCACTTTCTACACATTGTTAACGATACATCGAAATTACCATCTAAATACAGAACCATTAGACTGGCATAAAAAGTACAAATCTAAAGGATGTGTATAGGTGCTAATGGTCTGCCATTGGGATCATTGTAAATGGTGAAGATTCATGTATTTCTGTATCAATTTCAACTGAAAGGATATAGACAAATTCAATTTATTTCAAAATTTTCTTTAATGAAATAAATTTGTGAAATGTTCACTTAATGGGCCTATGAACTTTACAAAAATTGATGCTGAAATATATGAAAACAGCATGTATATATCTGGCAACACCATCTGTCCCTTTGTATAAGCATCATTAATTCTAAGATCCAAATCCTTTAAACAAACTATTGCAATCATCATTCAAAAAATCCTATGAAGTAAAAAGCTTCACTCTTCAGTCGTAATGAAGCACAATTTACAGAAAACATCTGATGAAGAAGTTTTCGATATTTGAATGAAATTTCATTCCTCAATTATGAAATTTCAGTTCTTGTATCACATTGTTAACGCTTAACTTGGTCAAGGAGCTAATGAGGATCGACGTGACGGCCGTCGCCATAGGACATACGCTCACGTCAAAAAAGATGGGACCCTTGTTACACTTCTAGTGGAACAAACATGGAAAATCTGTGAAGGACCATTGTTAGCCTTCATCCCTGATGTCAGACCAGTGTAGGCCATCAGCATTTCATAGATTACAAGTATTTACAATGATGTTACACTGACACGACTTTTCCACATTTATTCATGAGTTTAGTTTCGCTTCATCGGTTCCTTACAGATCATTGAGCAGCAGCCATTCAACCCCGACAACTTTCACCTCGATCCTCTCGCTGCGACTTCTATTAATTTGAAAATCTTATGTGGCTGAATAAGTCATCCTCCATAGACGATAAAACAAGATTTTACGAGTTTGTAACTTCTGTGGCGGGCTCTGTTGGCTGCATGTGTAACGTCATAAAAAGTCATGTGATTAATTCCAACATGGTAGGGAACAGTCACAGACATCGTACTCAAACTGTCAGATTTGAAGGTTTTGTTTGGATGGAAAATTATACCCAACGCTAACAGTTGCCTATAAAGCTAATGAAGTTTTATATCGGAGCGCTCACAAATACAGATGCATCATAATGGCCGACAGTACAGGGGGGAAATTATGTATATAAATTTATTGAATATGACGACACCTTATTCACGTCTACAGCACTCATAACAAAAACATTCCAGACAATTATCATACAAAAATGTTTATAAGAAGTCAGATTCAAATTTTGTGAAATAATTGATAGTTAAAGTGACAAAATATCCCTTAAGAGGACTAAACTGAAGAACACCATAAAGGTAATTTCCATACAAAAAGTTGGTATGATTCAAACTTTTATCAAACAATGCCATCAACATGAGTCAGACTTGGGATGCCACTAAGCAACCTGGCTGAGATGACAGGTACAGGGAGATTTAGAATCCAACTAATTCAGCAGTGTTTTGAGAATAATGTCACTTATCCATATGCTTTACATAAAGATCCCAAGAAATTAAGATTACTGAATGATAATTCAAGTTGAAAAAGATCACTGACATTGACATTGTCAGATAACAGGTGACCTTGACCTTTACAACTGAAGTCCTTTGTTTAAAAGAAATCTAATCATGAAATGATTTAAGCTGTATCATAACCAAATTACAGACTTAGGTGGTGAATATTTATAGTTCTTATAAGTAACCTAAAGAAATCTAGCCTTTAGTCCAGAGGTGAAGGTCATGTGGGCAATCAGCACCTTGTTATCTTTCCTTCATATTTTTTTTATTCTTTGGTGTTGAATGTTCTAGTATGTTGAGCCAGATTCCATACATTTCCAAACAAACCTCAACACCCTTCATTTCCAAAGGTGCCAAGACTCCCTTCACTTCCAAATGAACATCAACCCCCGACATATCAAGAACATCAACTCCCCCCTCCTCTACACTTCTGAAGGAACCTATATTTCCTACACCTCCAAAGGAACCAAGACTCCCTAACTGCCAAATGTACCCCAACACCCTACACTTCCAAAGAAACCTTGACCCCTTGACTTCCAAATGAACCTTGACCCCTACATTTCTGATGAACCCAGATTCGAAATGAATTCTTGTACACTTCTAGTTACCAATGACCAATATTTCAAAGCTGGATGTGCCCTCTCCCCTAACCACCTAAGAATCATCATTCAAAGCCTGCTGTAAACAGCAAGCAGTCATGCCAACCATCGAGCCATTATCTGCCATTCTGTTGACTTCATCAATTATCTTGTGTGAGGTCTATACCTTTTTTGTTATACACTATCTTATACAATCTACAATATTTTTATACATGATTATGGCTTATCAATGAAACAGAAGCAGGCCAGTATAGTTTTAGACATTTCAGATTTGAATCCTGAGATTTTTTCAAAAAAAAAAAAAAATTATAACAAAAAAGAAATATTGTAAACCACCCACAGTACAGCTATATAATTTGGGCCTGTGGCAATACATCTCTGGTTCTTGTCATGACCATTTATCATTAGTGATCCATTAATAGAGAACCAGTGTACAGCATAACATGTAGCTACAATAGTGTAGTACTAGCTCAACATTCAATGTCTCCATCCTCAACGGTGGTGGAGATAATCAGGCGATACCATCAACTCCAACATGCCATTATTATCAATTAAATGTAATGGTAATTCTTAATGAGAATCTGTGACATGTTTGATGAATGTAATTTTTAAATTGCTGAGACAAACATTTTTAGCATTATTACAGGTAAGTGATAGGAACGGTCAGGAGCTGAGACAAACATTTTCAGCATGATACAGGTAAGTGATGAGAACGGTCAGGAGCTGAGACAAACATTTTCAGCATGATACAGGTAAGTGATGAGAACGGTCAGGAGCTGAAACAAACATTTTCAGCATGATACAGGTAAGTGATGTGAACGGTCATGAGAGTGTAGCTGTCAATTCCTCAAAAAATTCTATCATATTTATGATAACAAATACTAGAACAAT